TGGGAAATAGGGTCTTTTAAACTCAAATGCCTTCAAAGTGACTCCAGGATTTGGGTCATCAAAAATAGGGACCACTATTAGGTGGCCACCCTATTAGATTCCTTATACAAGGGTAAAATATACTGCCAACATCCCAGAGAGGAGCCCAGCATGTAGCCCTATGAGGAGGTCCTGCGAAGGAAACTCTTTGCTGCATTTCCTGATGGAGACAGGATTTCCCCTGATCAACAACATGCCTCTGATTGTCTGATCCCTAAAAGGAGCAGTGGTTGGAGCGCATGCCTCAGCACATGCTTTTTTAAACCACAGTGGCCAGGCCCAGCTGCAGGTAGCACTCACAGCATTATTGCTGACTACATCAGGTCAAACTTTTAAATGTCATTAAATCCCTCCCCCAGGGCTTCAGCACTGCAAATGTGCCACACAATGTTTCTGTGGCTGGACCTCAGCTGCTAAATTTCTATTGTTTGCTGCAGGGTAAATCCTATGTTGTGTCTCAAAGTTTGCAGCCTATTTCAGATGTGTAGCTATCATCTCTCAACTAATACACGTACATGTTTATTTCAAGATAAAACTTGCCTCATCTCTCCCTCTTATATTGAAGTTACATAATGTCCAGCAACTTAACAATATTTGTGGCTATAGTCTCTTAGATATTATACTGTAGTTTTAATTGCAAGGTAAAACCTGTCTCATCTCTCCCTCTCACACTGCAACCTTACCAAGCTGCTTACATACCGCAGCCACTGTATAATATTTGTGGCTATAGTCTTTCAAATGGTACACTCTAATTTATATTTCAAGATACAACCTGCCTTTTCTCTACCTCTTATATGATTTAATCAAGGTGGTTAGACACTGTTGAGTCATTGAATGATATTTATGACTGCTGTCTCTCAGATAAAATACTTGTATTTTTATTGCAAGATAAAACCTGAATCCTCTCTCATTTTGCAGTCTGATCAAGCTGCTTGCATACTGTCCAGCCACTGAACAATATTAATGGCTATTGTCTTTTAAACTAATACACTCTAATGCATATTTCAAGATAAAACTAGGCATGATTCATAGAAAATAAGACATATATATGGCACCTTGTAAATGTAAAGATGAAAAATGCTTAAAAATTATACAAATTCCTGTAGTACAGTTAATATCACCTCCCCTCACAGCTAAAACATCATACAAAAGTAATACATACGTCTGAAAATGTCTAAATCAGAGTTTAAAGTGTATTTCCACTTTTGCAGCCAAATTGAGATAATACCTTTTTTATATTTCTTACATGTTCCCATTCAAGTAGCATAAGCTAATAAAAATATTTTTTAAACCTATTGCAGGTTAAATTGCTTTTACTTGGGTTAGAGTTTCTTGGCTTCATAAGGCTTTAAATTTCTGCTTGGCTTCTCCTTCTTTGTAATGTTAGGAGGGGCTGTGAAGGGTGAGGGGTTTGCATTTTATGTTGATGAAGTTAATTAGATAAACACAATACACAACTTTTAGTCCTAACCGTTTCTATTGGAACAGATCACTGTAAGGCCCCATTCACACTGAGCGACATACCTTTAGGAGCGGATCCGCGCGGCCGGGATAGCGCGACTTTTGGGGCGACGTTCCAGAGATGATCCAGTGACGGTAGCACGACCTTCACTGTCGGGCTGCATTAAATCATGCTACATCCACCGGAAAAAGGGTCCTGCAGGCGCGACTTGCGACCGCGACGAGCGACATGGAGCTGTACATTAAGACCGCTCCATTGAAAATCATTGGCCGGCGACTTCTCGCGATATCGCGGCGGAAATCGCGCGGCAATCCTCTCAGTGTGAATGGGGCCTAAAGGTGCTCAGAAAAAAACCTGGAATTATTTGTTTTGCAGGTGCCATTGACTCCAAAATAGCTTTAGCATATTCATTCTGCAGGCAATGGTGTGACTGAATTCCTAGGAAAACTGGGGCTACCCAAGGAAGAAAGATGATGGCAACAGTTCTAGCCATAAAGACATACTGTATATCTCTTTACTGTAAACGAGAAACAAGCAAGAGCCACTAGTTTCTTACAGTTTATAATATACATTTACTACTGCATGAGAATGCTTTGGTCTGGCGATTGATCAAAACTAACATGTCACTTTATTGCAGTTAGTAAGTATTTAATATTATTAATAACAACAACAATAATAATAATATTCAATACGGGTATGACATCTTCATCTGACCTTGAAATTATTACAGTTGTGTAGAATTGGGAAAATCCTATTCTCTAGCTCTGCAAGCTGACCAAAAGACAGTGAAAAGTCAAGTAGTGATAAACAAAACCCATTTTTGTGCTTTAACAACGCAGAAAAAGTTCCACAAATGTTAAGATTGGTCCTTGGATGAACATGTCAACTTTGGATTCCTTTGTGAGAAACTAGACTTTGGTGATTTGTTAACTATAGAACTATTTATATAGATATCTTAAAGTGGAAGTTACGTTTTGTTTTGTTTTTTAAATTGCTGACGGGCAGGTTTTTTTTTTTTTTTTTTTAAAGCAGAAGAGACCATGCAACTCTCTGCTGGCAAAGAAGCTCCTGTCTGTCTGTCAGCACTGTGTGTGGGAGTTCCACAATACCGGCCTGGCCAATCGAGAATCCGAAGGCACTAAACCCGGAAGATCGGGTGAAGATGGAAGCGCCAGTGACAGAGAGACTCACGGACAGTGTACCGCTGGAGGGGATTGCTATAATGTGCTAATATGCTGTCCACAGACCACTTAAAGTGACACTAAACTCAGGAGTTACATCTTAAACATGCATTTATTTACCTCAACTATTAACATTAGGGCCGTTACTGACTAAAATTTTCGTGTTCGAGTAATCGAATTGTTTTTTAATTGATTAATTTCGATTAATTATAACGCACATACAGATCCAAATACATTGGCCTATACACATACAGCACAGCAATGAAGTAATAAAATGAACTAGGATCACACTAATCCAGCACGTTATTAATCTCACGTGCCCCACTCAATATGGCCGCCGCTTGAGAGGGGCAACTCAGAATAATAACGTGCTGGAGTACTGTGATCCTAGCTCATTTTAATACTTCGTTGTTGTGGTGTATGTGTATAGGGCAATGTCTTGGCTGGTGCTCGTGCAGAATAACTTTCTTGGGCAAACCTCTTAGTTCCAGGCGGTCCGAAAACTCGATAAGTTGGAACTTTCGATCGAACACCGGCCCAAGTGGCTCTGTCGGCTAACGAACATCGACGGACATCAACGTCACCGGACTCCTCCCCCTTCCCTTCGTTAGCCGACGGAGCCACTTGGGGAAGGGGGGAGGAGTCCGGTAACATCGATGTCCGTGACGTCACCGGATCTCCGACGGAAGACCCGGAAGGCGGCGGAGAGGTGTGTTTTCATTATTGATCAAAATAATTTTAATCGATCAAAGCTTTTAACGATTAATCGGGTAATTAATCGTTAATTTCCGCAGCCCTAATTAACATAGATGTCTTGTTGGTGTATCACTCAGCTGTAGATCCTCAAATCATCTCTGGATTGGTGCTGACACTGTCCTTCCTCCTGGAGGGTGGCCACTTTTGTTCCCCATGGTCCCTGTGTGTGTTGTAAAGTAACCACCAATCCAAGCTCACTACCGTGATGGTCTACAATCTCAATACAAATTAGTAAACTAAACATGAGATTGTAGTTCATGATGGGAGTGAGTTTGGAGCGGTGACTATAACACACATAGGGTCCATGGGTAACAAAAGTAGGAAGGACAGTGTCAGCATGAATTCAGAGATGATCTGAGGCTTTGCAGCTGAGTGATACACAAATAAGTTAATTTTTTGTTAAATGTTAAGGTACTTGAATGCATTTGAAAGATTTAACTTCAGTGTAGTGTCACTTTAACTTACACTTTAATAGCTACATCTAGACTAGTGTTGCAGCAGCTTAAACTGGATTAAGTTCATACTTGCTGACTTGTAATTTTAGTGATAACACATGGAGTCTATATTATTGGACAACCAGATGATAAAATATGATAATTATTTTAACTTGGATAAAGAAAGGAAGGACTAGAACCCCTGTCATGTTTTATTGCTGCCTGTGTCGCTGCTAGGTAGCTTTACCCTATTTCTCCTGATGACTATTGACAGTAAGTGAGTTGCCACCAGAACAGGAAATAAGAGAAAATTTTGAAGGGGACACCTTTTCCAGGGACAAGTGTCTATGATGGGAATTCCCCTCACTTTGTTAAAAAAAATTCCACTCACTTCCTGTATTGTCTGTGGGAGAGGAAGTAAAGGGACATTTCCACTTCACAAACTGCAAAATATAAACTGCAAGAGACTTTAACCCTTTCCTACTCTATTCTAAAAACTGCTCTACTCTAAAAAAAACAAAAAACAAAGAATCAAAATGTTTGGGTATACATACTTATGTAATGCAAGCAGACATTAAGTAATTTTATGATATGTTTGTGATACTCATATTTAAGGGCATTCTAAGAGCATTTATGACAGTTATGGGGCTCTAAGATGACTTCTAATATGTTTTACTATGATATAATCAACATATATGACATCATCACTGCCTGCAAAAAAAATAAATATATATA